GAGCCTTTCTTCCTAGATACGATATTTCCATTACTCTCTTCAGTATACTCATACACATACTGACTTAAGCATCAGAGGTTCTTCACCGGACACAACCCCCGGTGTGAGAGTTATTTCCAGGTTTCCGGCGTTTTACCGGTGAGGATAAGAATAGATCTACCCCAAGCTGGGCCAGGACGCTCACACTTGCATTATTGGCGCCGTCTGTGGGACTTTTGTTCGAAAGGTTGTGTTTGAAGCTCAGCTTTGGCGGACGGAATTCCCAGAACCAACTTGCAGTCGACGTTCGATGACGTTTGGATGACGACCAGGCCGATTGTGCAGGGCCCTCCTCCGGGTTTCTCTAGCCCTTCCCAGACGCCGGTTACTCCTACACCCGTCCTTCAAGGTGTGGCAGCATCGACGACAGTTCCCGGAGGAGATGCAAGCTCCAGTCGGGCCCAGGAGGCTCGCACAGCAGCCGCGGCGGCGATGCCACCGCCGCCGCCCCAAAACCCAGTTGTGGCGCAACCAGGATGAGCGGTGGTGCAAGGAGAAGCGCCATCACAGGTGGGTGTGCAAGCCCCCGGTCAACAGATGCTGGCGATGACCCGGTTGGAGATGCAGAGGATGGTGGCAGCCGCGGCGGCGCAGGCGGTTCAACAAGTCACAAGCCATACGTCTCATGCCACAACTGCGCCGACCACGGTGGTGGGAAGTCAGGATGAGGATGTGTCCAGCTATGGAGATGGGGGAGGTGTGAGAGATCGTGCGATGGAGAGGATGACAAAGCAGTTACGCCAGTTGCAGGACAAGGTCGAATGGAGGCCGGAGAGGAGAGCTCGAGGAAATCCTTTCCCGAAGGAGATTCTCGCAGCCCCTTTGCCGAATAATTTCAGGGAGACTAACTTGATGTATGACGGGTCATCTGACCGTCGAGGCATGTGAGGACTTTTGAAAGTATGGCTGTGTTGCATGGGTATTATGATTCTGTATGTTGCAGGGCGTTCTTATTGACCTTGCGTGGGGGAGCGCTTGATTGGTTTCATCAGTTGCCGCTTGGGTCGATCGCGGAATTTGAGGATTTTGCTAGTAAGCTCACCAATCAGTACTCGAGCACGGTGGCTCAGGAGAAGATGTATTTGACCTTGATGGCGATGAAGCAGGGAGAGAAGGAGTCGTTGAGGAAGTATGTTGCTCGATATAATCAAACATGCTTGGAGGTGCACTCGGCGTCGGATGAGGTGAAGGCAAGAGGCCTGATAAGGAGTCTTCGAGCGAGGCCTTGCCGAACCTCACTGGCAAAGACCCCTGCTCGATCGTATAAGAATGTTTTGAAGCGGTGCAGAAAGTATATTAACTTGGAGGAGATGGAGGTGGAGTTTGCAAAATTGGAGGGAGCTGCTCGACCAGAGCCAAAGAAGGAAACGAGCCCAATGAGGGAAAGGTCGCCGAGGAGAAGTTCGCCAGGCGGAGTGGACCAAAAAGAACATCGCCCAGAGGAGAGGGGCGAGACTCAAAGCAAGCTAAAAGGGATGACATGTGGCAGGGGAGGCCATTGTTGTTCGAGAGACAGAGGTACCATAATTTCACGCCTTTGAGGAAAGATATGACAGAAGTGATCGAGGCGATGGAGCAGAAGATGTCGAGCGAGGATGTGACATGGCTGAAGACGAGGTTTACAGGCCCGACTCGGCCTAGGTCGGATATCTATTGTCGTTTTCATCGGGACTATGGCCATACCACGGAGAATTGCAGGCATTCGAAGGATGAGATTGAGAGGTTGATTCGGGCGGGGCATTTGAAGGAGTTTGTGTATCATGATAGGGTGAAAGAAAAAGGGAGGAGGAAATGTCGGGAGGATTCGGAGGAGAGAAGTGATAGAGATGAGGAGGGGGTGATAGAGATGGTCGAAACGGTCGAGGGAAGAAACCGAGGAGAGATAGAGAGAAAGGAGGGAAAGCGGGCGAAGCTCTCGTGAAGAGAGGAACAATCTATATGATCTCAGGAGGGCCAACGGATGGCTACTCGAATAATGCAAGGAAAGAACATGCTCGAGCAGTGAAAAAGAAGAGAGAGGAGGTGGGTATTACGGCTCGCATACCGGTGATAAGTTTTAAAGCGGAGGATGCTGAAGGAGTGGTGTTGCCACACAATGAGGCCTTGGTGATTACGGCGGAGGTGGCAGGTTTTATTGTGAAAAAGGTGTTCATTGATACCGGGAGTTCGATAGATGTAATGTTTTATGACTATTTTTTGCAGATCAACAAGGAGCTGAATATGGAGCTGAAGCTGATAGCCACGGCGCTTTACGACTTCAACGGAGGAGAAGTTATGCCGATGGGCGAGGTTAGTTTGCCAGTGGCGTTGGGGTCAGGAGTAATGAGGAAGGTGCGGATGGTGATATTTGTGGTCGTGGGAGCTGAGTCATCTTATAACATCATTATGGGAAGAACGAGCTTGAACGCATTCCAGGCGGTCGTATCAACGTACCATATGACGATCAAGTATCCGGTAAGCGAAAACGTTGGTGAGATCGCAGGGGATCAGCTTACCTCGAGGAGTTGCTATCAGACAACGGTAAACAACAACAAATAATTGGCGAAGAGGCAAGCCAAGTCAAAGGAAGAAGAAGTTAGTCGACCAGGTGGGTCGAGATCAAAAGAGGATAGGCTGAGGTTAGAGAAGGGTAAGGAGAAGGCAGATATTCAACCAGGAGAGGAGGTTGAGGAGATCCAAATGGTCGAGGGGTATGAGGAGAGGAAGTTTAGAATTGGGAAGGAGCTCGAAGAGCCGATTAGGTTGAGGCTGATCAATTTAGTGATGGAATTTGCTGATGTCTTTGCCTATACGACAGAAGAATTGACAAGAATAAGTGCAGAGATGATTGAGCACCGTCTGAACATCGACCTCAGTGTGAGGCCGGTGAAGCAAAAAAGAAGGCACCATGGGGCGGAGATGGATCGAATCATAGAGCAGGAGGTGGAGAAATTGCTAGGTGCAACGCATATTAAGGAGATTCAGTTCCCAGAGTGGTTATCAAACACTGTGATGGTGTCAAAGGCGGAGGGAAAATGGAGAATGTGAATCGACTTCCGCGATCTAAACAAAGCATGCACGAAGGATCTGTACCCATTGCCCAGAATCGACCAACTGGTCGACTCAACTGCGGGATGTGAGTTGCTGAGCTTAATGGATGCCTCCCAGAGATATCATCAAACTCCCTTGGCAAGAGAAGATAGAAAGCAGGTGAGTTTCGTGACAAGTCGAGGAACCTATTGTTACGTGGTGATTCCGTTCGGCCTAAAAAACGCGGGTGTCACGTATCAAAGGTTGGTCGATAAAATATTCAAGGAGCAGTTGGGGAGGAATATGGAAGTGTATGTAGATGAAATGCTGTTAAAAAGTAAGGAGGAGATGGATCATGTGCGAGACCTGAAGGAGACGTTTTTAACATTGAGGAGGTATGAGATGAAGTTGAATACGGCCAAGTGCTCGTTTGGGGTGAAGTCAGGAAAATTCTTGGGTTACCTGGTGACCAAGAGAGGTATTGAAGTGAATCCAGAGAAGGTACGGGCGGTGATGGAGATGAAGTCACCGACGAATGTTAAGGAAGTACAAATATTGGCTGGTAGAATTGCGGGATTAAGTCGTTTCATATCGAAGGTGGCGGAGAGGAGCGGTCCACTATTCAAAACATTGAAGAAGAGCGCGAAATTCCAGTGGACTGATGAGGCTCAACGTGCGTTCGAGGAGTTACAAGGGGTGCTAGCCAACCTTCCCCTGTTGTCCAAATCGGTCCAAGGAGAAGACTTAGTCCTGTATATCTCTATTGGAGAGAGGGCTGTAAGTTCAGTGCTGTTGCGGGAAGAATGGGTAGCACAATTTTCTATTTATTACGTGGGCAGGGTGATGCAAGGAGCTGAGATGAGATATACTCGGAGATCGAGAAATGTGCTATGGCGGTAGTTGTAACTGCTCGAAAACTGAGGCCTTATTTTTTAAATCATAAAGTGAGGGTGAGAACGAATATGCCGCTGGGAGAGACGCTCGCCTGACCCTCAGTTTCTGGTAGATTGGTGAAATGAGTGGTCGAGCTAAGTGAGTATTTGCTAATGTATGAGCCGAGAAGGGCTATCAAGGCGCAGGTGTTGGCCGATTTTATCCAGGAGGGTACAAAGATCGAGGAAGAATCAGGGGGAGTTGGCAGTTGTTCGTGGACGGATCGGTGGCAAGAAGTGGGGTAGGATTGGGAATTTCTTTTTTCCCCTAAGGGCGATTATTTGGAGTTTGCAGCCAAGGTGGGGTTCAGGGTATCTAATAATGAGGCTGAATATGAGGCCGTGATCAAAGGTCTGCAGCTGGCAACGACGGGAGGAGCCCGAAGGGTGCAAGTCCATTCTGACTCTCAGCTAGTAGTTGGGCAATTCCAGAAGGGATTTGAAGTCAAGGAGGATCGGATGCGGAAATATGTGGACGAGATGAAGAAGTTAAAAGAGGAGTTTGATTCATTCGAGTTGTTACAGATTCCTCGAGGAGAAAATGGTCGAGCAGATTTATTGTCAAAAATTGCTCAGAATCTGGTGGATTGTAAAAGTAGAAGTGTGACTCTATTACATTTGGAGAGAAGTGTGATCGATGCTGAGGTGGCGGAGATTTAGGAGGTTGAGGATTGGAGGGCCCCGATCTTACATTTATGAATGTTGATCTTTTACTTTTTTTTTTGTGTAATCAAATATTTTAACTTTATATATATTTTTTTTTAAAAAAAATTATTATCTGCTCTCTCAACAAAAATGTTATGCAATGTGCTGCAAAAGTAAAATTTAAATTAATATTTCTACAAAAAAACTTATTTTTTTTTCATAAATTATAGATGTTGCACTTAATAAATACATGAAATATTTTTTTTTAAGTTTGAGGATGATACGGATTCTAAGTATTTAAAAACACAATCGTAAACATATCTATATTTACATTTATAGTAAATACATTTGTATATGAAATGAGTGTTTCGACTTAAACTACATTATTTAACATTTAAAATCGAATCTCCTTGAGGTAAATTTCTGAATCCGTCACTGCTTGTTTTTAATATTTTTAATGAAAATTGTGGTTCACGTACGTAAATATCCTATGATTTTTTCCGTATAAAACGGTTACTTCCAATCTTTTTTTTTTTTTTTT